ACACACACACACACACACACACACACACACACACACACACACACACAAAATTATTGGCAAGTGGAAACTGATGACACCATGAGACATCAAGAAACAATAAAACAAAACTTAAAAAATGAAAAAATTGAAGAAAATATGAACTATCTCACTGGAAAAATAACCGACCTGGAAAATAGATCCAGGTGAGATAATTTAAAAAGTATTGGACTACCTGAAAGCCATGATCAAAAAAAGAGCCTAGACAACATCTTTTAATAAATTATCAAAGAAAACTGCCCTGATATCACAGAATAAGGGGGCAAAACACAAATTTAGAAAATCCACCAAAGGGGTGGAGCCAATATGGTAGAATAAAAGCAGTGACTTGCTTGAGCTTCAAACTCGGAACCCCTCCAAATACCTGTGAAAAATAACTTTAAACAAATTCTACAGCAACAGAACCCACAAAAAGGCAGAGTGAAACAAATTTCCAGCCCAAGACAACCTAGATGGTTGATGGGAAAGGTCTGTTGCGCTGGGCTGGGAGAGGAGCACAGTTCAGCATGAGCTGCACTGGCAAAGAAGGGGGCCCCCAGCAAACCCAGAGCAAGCCTCAGGGGACTGAATCACAAAGGTAGCTGTGGTGGTCTCCAGGCTTCTCAACCCATAAACACCAAATACAACTTAGAAGGTCAATAGGAAGGGTCTGTTGGACCTGGGTGAGAAAAGAGCATAGCCTAGCCCTAGACCTGGCACAGTCCCAGGACAGTGACAACAGCAGCTGATGATGGAGCTCTTGGCCCACAAATGGTGGGGGGATCGAGCTGCTAATCAAATTTATAAGAATACAGATCATTCCCCAATATGAAGAAAGATGAAGAAATCAAAGCTCTCTTACTCATATGAAAAAAATTATCTAAATTGCTATTAATAAGAGAAATGCAAAGATGATGAAGAAATCAAAGCTCTCTTACTCATATGAAAAAAATTATCTAAATTGCTATTAATAAGAGAAATGCAAATTAAAAGAACATCAAAGTACCACCTTATACCTACCAACTTTGTTAGTATGACAGAAAAGAAAAATGACAACTGTTGGAGGGGATGTGGGAAAATTGGGACACTAAAGCACCATTGGTCAAGTTGTGAACTGATCCAACCATTCTGTAAGAGCAATTTGTAACTATGCCCCAAGACTATAAAACTGTGCATATCCTTTGACCCCCAGCAATATCACTACTAGATCTGTATCCCAAAGACACTGAAAAAAAAGAGAAAAAGAACCTACATGTACAAAAATAATTACAGCAACTCTTTTTGTGGTAGCAAAGAACTGGAAATTGAGGGGATTCCCAACAATTGAAGAATGGCTAAATAAGTTGTGGTACACAATTGTGAGGGAATATTATTGTGCTATAAGAAATGACAAAGAAGATGGTCTTATAAAAACCTGGAAAGACTTACATGAACTGATGCAAAATGAAAGGAGCAGAATCAGAAGAACAGCGTACACAGCAATAGCAACATTATATGATGATCAACTGTGAATGACTTAATTTTTCTCAGCAATACAATGATCCAAAACAATTCCAAAGGACTTATGATGAAAACTGCTATTCATCTCCAGAGAAAAAACTAATGGAGTCTGAATGTAGATCGAAGCCTACTTTTTTTAAATTTTTCTTGGGTTTTTTGGTCTGTTTTCTATCACAACATGACTAATATGGAACTATGTTTTTCATGACTGCACATGTATAATCAATCAAATTGCTTGTCTTCTCAAGGAAGAGAGAAAGAAGGGAAGAGAGAATTTTGAACTTAAAATTTTAAAAAATATGTTAAAAATCATTTTTACATGTAATTGAAAAAATACATTTAAAAAAAGGAAATGGCATTTGCATAAGTGCTTTAAGGTTTATAAAGTACCATCTTCAAAATAATCCTGTGATAATGGCAGAAAGTGGTCATGCAAAATTTGTTCACTGAACATGTATTTACCTATAGTGTCTAACATACCAGATAATGTATTTCATATTTAAAAATTTATCAGAAATAAAACCCACCTCTTATCTCCTGACCAGTTGGTAATGGACAAGAGGTATAGAATTAGACATACTTTTCAAACATGTCCAATGTATGGATTTGATTTCCTTGACTTTTCTTATTACAAGAAGAGTTTAAAAAAAAATTGGGAGGGGTGGGGCTGCAGAGAAAGAAAAAGGCTATTGATAACAACAGGAAAAAGAAAGGAAAGAACATGAATGAAACAGTTTAAAATGCAAAGAGAGAGAAGGAAGTTTAGAGGGGAAAATACAAGTACTACAGCGTGGTAGCTAACACTGAATGTATTATATACATATATAAATTTTTTAAAAGCTGTATGCAAAAGATTCATAGTTTCACATACAATGCTCTTTCTTGTTCTTCTTTATACATAAAAAGGTTTCTATTTGTTGGCGTTCATCAAGTTCAGAATAAAATGTAAAAATAAAAATTTATCAAAATTCCAGAACTTAAATAAATGCTACCAGAAGTTTGGTTTCTTTTAACTTAGTAGCCTACTCACCTGTAACGGCATCAAAGAATTCTTCTTCACTATTCATCCTTCAGTAGTAAATCCTTTTTTCTTCCCCGGTTTGCTGCTGTCTATAGCATCATTGTACTTGAACTACATATAGAATTAGAAATAATTTTATGCTGTGAACTTTTTATTCATAAAGGCTCAACAGACTGAAGACCTAAGAGGAGAAACATTATGACAGAATTAGTTCTTTGAAGTCCTACATTTCAGAAACACTTTTAAAAAACAAAACATTTTCCAATTCATTATCTCTGAACATTGAAGACAAAAAGTCAAATTTGTGTTCTGAATATAATATCATTTATATCTAGGCACTGAAATAAAATGTGAGTTATTTTACTTCATAAATGGATAACTTCCAAATGGGGGAAAACTTTTTGAAGATAAAGGTCAATGTTTCATGAAATGCAAAAATAACTGAAAAAATTGTTAACAATAGTTGCATTAGCAAATTATCAAAGAGTATTACAAATTCATTTCAGAAAACTCTTATTAAGTACCTACTGAATGTGCAAGGCACTATTGTAGTTGCCAGGAATACAAAGAATGAATGAAAAAAATTAGTAAGTGTATTCCAAGTGCTACTAGGATACTGAGGCCAAGCGTAAAAGAAAGACAAATACTCCCCTCCACCCTCAACTCCCTCATAAGAAAAAGAGAGAGAAAGAAAGAGAGAGAGAGAGCTCGCACATGCACCACTCCTATCCTCAAGGAATTTACATTAATTCTACTGGGGGAAACAATATGTACATATAGGTAAAAAAAAAAAAAAAGGTCATTTGACGAAGAAGAGTACTAACAACAAGGGGGATGAGGAAAGACTTTTGTGACAACATCATGACAGGATTCACTTGGCATATACAAGAAGGTTCAGGCTACAATAACCACAACCTCCCTCATATTCTGGCGGAGATTGTCAATAGGCAATCACAACTTCACAAAACTTTCATGAAAACTAGGTTTATTACAAGAGAAATGAAAATGTATGTGGAACCCAAAGAGTTTACAATCCATACAGCAGTCTGCATATTTATGACAGCAAGATAAACAAAGGGGGAAGAGAGCAGAAATCACCACCTAAAGGGGTGTGGCATGGGAGGGGGAAAATGCAGTAAAAGTGGGAAAAGGACAAAACAAGGCAACACAAAAGCCACATTCTTTTCCCTAGGGAACTTCTAGAGAGACCATGAAGATATGATCTGCTTATCTACAAAGGTCCCAGATGCACAAGGCTAGTGCAGACTGTCTGGTGCCTCTTTTGACTCTCAAGAACACAGAGGGAATGCAGCTTGGAATGCAAACAACACATTATATTAGCTGGGGGCGGGGGTAAGGGGATCAGGGCCCATACTTTACATATTCAGGGTTTCCTGCATACCCTGGGTCCAGTGTTTCTGGAAAACGTGACATCTCAAACAGACAAGTTCAGGGGACCCCTTGACATTCCTTAACCAGACAGAACAAGAACCAAGAGTCCTGGGGATAGCAGTACTCCCCAGACCACTGCTCTGCTTCCAGTTCAGCCTTTGCAGTCATCAAGGGGAATATCACTTGTATTTTGTTTTTGGTTTTTTTTGGTTTTTTTACTTTTAGGCAGTTGGGGTTAAGTGACTTGCCCAGGGTCACACAGCTATTAAGTGTCAAGTGTTTGATCTGAGGTCACATTTGAACTCAGGTCCTCCTGATTTCAGGGCTGGTGCTCTATCCACTGTGCCACCTAGCTGCCCCCAGGAATATCACTTGTAGAAAGAAGATCTAGCAGCACCACTACCCACAGCACCAAAGGTATACCATCTGCCACAGATGGGGCAGGTAAGTTAAAAAGCCCTGGAAACAGCAGCACTTCCCAGATCCAAGCCTGGCCCTGGCAGGGAAGTAACCTTTGTGGCAATTTCCTCTGCAAGAGCTGCTATTCTCTTGCCATTCCATCACCCTCCAGAAGCCACAGCTACTAAAAGAAAAGTTCTAGCTACCAAAATGTCAAATTGTCCACGAGAAATAGATATGGCTTTGTCAGTGGAAATGATGTTAAAGAAGAAGCATAGCCATTTGCTTTACCACAGCTCCCTAAAGACCCTGAGACCTTTCCATCTGACTAGCCTGGGATACTTTGAGTTACCTTGTCTTCCTCAATTAGAATGGGAGCCCCTTGAAGGTAGGGACTGTTTGGCTTTTTTAATTGTATCCACAGTGCTTAGCACAGTGTTTACACACAGCACAACTTAATAAATGCTTTTTTCATTCATTCATTCATTTATTCATTCATTCACCTGAGCTAAGCCACAAAGGACAGAGACTGAGGTAGAAAGGAGGAGAGTATTCTAAAGAAGTGGGGGAAAGAAGGCAGTCTATTTATAAGCATAACGGTAGGAAATTAAGTCCCAAGTATTGGGGAAAAGTGAATAAGCCAGTTTGACTAGTGCATAGATTATGTGAGAGTGAGGTGACATAAATCTGGAAAAGTAGGCAAGAGCCAAATTGTGGAAGACTTTACATGCTAAAGTGAGGAGTCTGAATTTTATCCTAACAATGGTTAGTTAAGGAAACAACATGAACAATTTGTATTCTGTACATATAGGACAGGTGTTAAAAGTTCTAGCAAAATCCAACACATAACTTGGAGTTGGAAGTGACCTCAAGGGTCACAATAAAAGCTTACTGAAATCATGTTGACACACACATACACACAATGGCTTCATTACTGCTCAAATGTCATCCACACTACATCAACAATCAGTTTGGTTTGAAATATTAGAAACCTTTATCACAAATTACAAACAACTGAATTGCTGTAGCAACAGAAATGTTTTAACATGTTTAAAATTTACATCCACTTTAATCCAGTTTTCAATTCTAAGGGCATTAAAATGCCTTTATAAATTGTCAACAAAAAATAAGTCAATCTAGACCTAAGTACACTTTTTAAAATGGTCTCTCAAATTACATTTGCTTAGTGTTTTAATATAATTCACTTATATTAATGTTTCCCTAGATTAATTCCTGAAGACAGGAATTTTGTAAGTTATAAAAACTAAAAATTAAAGGTCAACCTAAATCCAAAAATGTTTGACCTTCTTTTCTCTGAAAATAAGCACAGTTCTAACTTTTATTTTGTTTCCAAATTACAACCTAAGTCAAAATAGTCCTTCTACCTCAGTCTTCATATACACAGAATTTCAATAAAAACTCAGTAATAAAAAGAGGGTTGAAAAGAGGTATATCTGAAACACACATTCTCCTTATTAGTGTGTTTCAGAGTAACATGAGATTTCTCCAAGATTAAGAGGATACCTGAATGTTTGTTCTATATTCCAGGTATTTTGCCTCGAAAAATAAATTAATAAGATTTTTTTTTAAAAAATGTTTTTAATGATTTAGTTTATTCCCTTCATTCATTGAAAAGAATTTGAGGTTTTCTTTACAGTTTTGTTCTAATGCAGCTAGGCGATTCAACTATCTCTTAAGTCAGTTCTTTTTAACATGACTTCTTCATAAGGATAACTAGTAGGATCTAAGATAACTTTGTACAAAATACTATGCTTCTGTAAACTATTCTATAGCAATCCTTTTAGATAGGTCACAAATTCATGAGCTTTGTGGTAAATATCACAAAGAAAGAAGTAGATTCACGTTCTTCATAATGTGGCCTCCTTCTACCTATCCAGTCCATTTGCACGTTATTCCCCTTTCCTCTATCTCTGCTGTCCCGCCACACTGGTTGGGACACTTAATCTCCTGTCTCCATGCCTTTGCCATGGCTATCCCCTATACCTAGAATGTTCTACCTTCTGGAATCCTTGTCTTCCTTCAAGACTCAGGTCAAGCACTACCTTCTTTATCAGGTCTTACCGAGTCTCCTCAGCTGCTACTGCCTCTCACTCCTCTGCTATTCTTTTATTTGACTTGTATATTATGTTTTGTCTATAGCTATATATGCCAGTATGTAATCTTCCCCTCTAGATTGTATGATCCTGACAGCAGGGAGTCTTTTGATTCTGTCTTTGTATTTCTAGTGCTTATCACAGTGTGTGGCACACAACAAGTGCTTAATAAATGCTTGTTGAAAGGATATGAAAAGGCAGTTTTCAGATGAAGAAATTAAAGCCATATATTCACATAAAAAATGCACTACATCAAAAATTCTGAGGTACCACATCACACCTATCAGATTAGCTAACATGACAAAACAGAAAAATGATAAATGTTGGAGATATGGGAAAAATATAACACTAAATGCATTGCTGGTGGAGTTGTGAACTGATCCAACCATTCTGGAGAGCAATTCGGAATTATGCCCAAAGGGCTATAAAACTGTGCATACCCTTTGACCCAGCAATACCACTTCTAGGTCTGTATCCCAAAGAGATCATAAAAATGAGAAAAGGACCTACATGTACAAAAATATTTACAGCAGCTCTTTTTGTGGTGGCCAAGAATTAGAAATTGAGGGGATACCCATCAATTGGAGAATGGCTGAACAAGTTATAGTACAGGAATGTAATGGAATACTATTGTGCTATAAGAAATGATGAGCAGGAAGACTTCAGAAAAACCTGTAAAAAGACTTATATGAACTGATGCTGAATGAAGTGAGCAGAACCAAGGGAATAACGTACACAGTAACAGCTACACTGCCCAATGACTAACTTTCATAGACTTGGCACTTCACAGCAATGCAAGGATCTAAGACAACTTCAAAACACTCATGATGAAAAATGCTGTCCATATCCAGAGAAAGAACTATGGATTCTGAATGTAGATTGAAGCATACTATTTGCTCTCTTTTTGAGTTGTTATTGTTTTGTTTTGTTTCTTCTTTCTTGAAGTTCCTCCCATTGGTCCTAATTCTTCTTTACAATATGACTAATGTGAAAACATGTTTAATATGAATGTATATGTAGTACCTGTATCAGATTGCATGCTATTTTGGGAAGGGGGAAGGGGAGGAAAAGGGAGAAAATTTAAAACTCAAAAGCTTATGGAAGTGAATGTTGGAAACTAAAAATTACTTAAGTAATTAATTTTAAAAATAAAATAAATGCTTGTTGGTTGTGTTTGATTGTTGTAGAAGTTTAGCTGTTTATGTAACAATGAAAATAGTGCTACATAATCATGCCAAAGAAACCTTTAGAAAACACCTATCCTTATCATTATATT